TGCTTGGATTGCGTGATCCAGCCTATGATTGGCTGCTTGGCTCCAAAGGTTTTATCTGTAAGGGGATATGTAGAAAAGCCCCTGAGCCCCCCCTCTCCCCCCGCCTCCCACCCTTCCCCAGGACGTACGGACGTACAGCTCTCCCATTATACCGTAGTATATATGGCTATGGATGAGAGATGGCCGGGCATCGATTTCACAAACCCATCCCTAAGAAATAGGTTTTTCCGACTTACAGAGAAGTTTTCATGTCTCAGATTTCTTGATAAAACTATCTTACACGGTTTCCCATGCCTAAGACACGCTTCGCCACCCTGTCTGCTTGCACAAAATGCCCTTCATTCCGAACCGCTACACCCGAAAATGCGTTTCTGCGGAAATCTGCGAGGGTCCCTTCGTCCCCCTCCCCCCTCTTGGGGCCAATATAGTCGAGTCACTGGGGAAATGAGCAGTAAAAGGAAAAGTAATGAAATGAGAAATGAGTCATTTAGGGTCTCCCCAATCTTTGTCAGCGGATTAGCTCCTACCGTCAAAGACATGACATTCTGACATAGATGCCACATGGGTCTTCCCTTCAGAGGTGAATAAATTTTTTTTTCTCGCAGTCTTTACGGTCTCTTCATGGAAGCAGTTCCATCATGTGGCGTCTCTATGTTATTCCCGAGAGGCCAACCATTCCCGCTCACACTTAGCATTCCTGCTGTTCTTGTGAATAAAAACTGCGTGTGGCAACCCTGTTTTTCCAAGCTGGAGATTAGGGGAGGGGGCCGCCAACTAGATGACATTTTATGACCTCTAATGGGGCGACGTGTCAAATTCGCCATATTCCCAGTGACTCACTGTATGCCATGAGAGACCTGGCGTTCTGAAGCCTAGAGACCTAAGCGGGATGCGGACCGGCCATATCAGCACAACACGACCCACGGCTCGGAGCAGCAAAGCTCGGTCGACGATCGCGTTCCGGGTCGGGTGCGGACAACGATTCCAATCGGGCGATCCAGTTTCAACTCGGAAAAGTCAAACCGTGCAGGACTCTGACGCGCAAAAAGACAGGAGAACCCTTAGAAAACACGTTCACAGCGTATTTCTTAGACTTTTTATTCCAATAAGTATCGCCTCCAGGTCCTAAGCTCTCGATTGATAACTAAATTTAAAAAATCCGTTCATCCGTCCAGGAGGAGTTTACCGGAACGACAAAATGACAGACAGGGTAGGCTCATGTGTATATGGATGGATGGATGTGTTTCAAATTCTTTGTTGCGTATCTCGTTCGCTAGCATGCTCTACTTCAGAAAAACTCGATCGATTGGAAAGGGAGGAATGTGATCAAAAAGGTTCCATTTTGTTTATTTTACAACCAGAGTAACCCATTTCAACGTTGCATGTAACAACGACCATTTTTTAGACATTGCGTTGTTTTATGGACGTCATAACGTGACTTCACAGCGTCCCATCGTCACGTCGTCACGAAACAACGTTGCCGCAACGCTACTTGGACGTCACTTGTTGCTTGGGCGGTCGCGATCATCGCGATGCTTGGGCGGTCATCGCGCCCAAGGCCCTCCAGAGTGCTCACGTGCCTGACAGCTCGGAGGGGTCTCAGATACCTGTGCGGCATGTGAAAGTGCGTGAAGGAGCGTGCGGTTGAACCCCTGTCGCCTCTCCTCATATCAACTGCTCTTGTTCTCTTTTTTCGGGCATAGTATCGAACCTTAATTCATGTTCCTGGTGAAATACTGTATATAAAATAGAGAATCAGACAAGGCTGAGGCGACGGCATGATAAGCCTCTGAGTGGGGTATCATTGTACAGATCCCACTTCCATATGCGCGTGTTCTTCGCTGCCAGACATACTCGTATTACCCGGTATAAATGGATATTTGGTATGGGAATCGCTTGAGAAGAGAAACTGTAGTTCCTTGTGGAACACATGGATTTAAAATGCACATTTGTCTCATCTCATCTCACGACATACAGGCATGCATACAATTTCAAAGAAGCTAACGAAAAAAAAGTATGTCTGATTTGTGGTCCTTTACTCGTCCAGAATAAAATTAGCTTGGAGAACAGGAGCTTTAAAAGAACTCAATACCCTTGCAAAAGCGTCTCAGCTCTGCAAGATGCACAGTTTTGCCCGCTTCCTTCGTCCTCTGTCCGCTTCCTTTTCAGCATTCAGACCTCGGATTCTGAAAAAAAGTTCTAGTGCGAACGAAAAGAGGCACTGCCTCTTCGGGGATTTCGGGATAAGTCTTTTTCATGTGGAGCACCAAATCTGAAATCAAATAGCCCCCTCTTCTGAAAGTTTCCCCGTGCCAGGCTTTGAACTCCTTCTCCAGTTTCTGCACTGCTTCTAGCCAAGAAGAACTGGGTTGAGTGAGTCCCCCCCTACAGATTTTATCCAGCGAAGCGCAAGAAACAGGCTCACTCGTGCTACCAAGCTTTGGATGGCTTTTCTTTAGCTTAAGAGCAATGAAGTCTGCAACTTTTTGCAAAGCTTCATTGTTCACGTCATCATTGGGAGTGACATCTGCTTCAACGGAATCGAGCAGGTCAGTTTCATCCTCCTCTTCTTGGGTGTCATTTGAAAGAGTTGCTTCTGTAGGGAGGAAGTTGTAGGAAATGTCCAACAGGTTTCCTTCTGAATCACGAGAATCCGGAATTGTCTCAGCGTCATGTTGAACAGCCTCCTCATTAAGGAAGTCATCTTCTTTCACTTCAAGTACATTGGCCCCCTCGATACGGACTATATTCCTCCCACCTGTTAAGAGCAATGACCGAATCTATGCCGTGCCGAAACTGGACTTGGATTGACACAAGTTCGTCCGAAAGCCCTGAGTTGTCCGAAGAAATTTTCTAGGCAGTCCTGATTGAGTCTGCTTGTCAAAATACATGTTGCCTTGTAATGGTGTTGAACAAAACTAAAAAGTCCACGGAGCGAACTGATGGACGTCAAAATGCCTTTCTGAAAAGGCAAGAGACTTTTACGTCCAGGAACTCGCATGCTTTGACACAGGTTAAGCATCTCATCCAGTACTGCATCTTGCTTGGACAACTTCAATCCATATCCGGACTTTCCAGGCATATTATCTGTGGACTGTCGGCTATTGAAAACATCAAAATATGAATTCACTGTGTCAATAAAATCAGCAAGTTTGTCGTGCTGAGGGAGATAATGCCTGAGACCTTTTGCGACCGTGTGTGACATTAGTTCACAAGCAGGTCTCACTCTTTGTTTTTCAGTAGTCGACAAATTCAAATGCTTTGAAGATATTTTATGGCATATTTTTACATCCTCCTTTTCCAGAGACACTAGTTCCTCCAATGGCTGCTTGGTTAAGGTCGTTGCGCCAATACGATACCCTTGATCAACAAAATGATTGCGGACGAGTTTTAGAAGATGAGGCGCATCAGCAAAAAAGAAGACAGGTTGGGCAGGATCACAAGGGTGGCAGCAATGGCTCTTTTCCATTGTGATGTTAAGCTGTCTCCATAGGGTCATGTTCTGCGCACCCATGTCACATACAGTTGCCACAACAATGAAACCTGCAACATGCAATGCCTTCACAACTGAAACCCACAAGTTGTTGTCCATCTTGAAGTCAAAGTCATAAAAAATTGGCTGTTTCCAAGAGCAAAATAGCCCTCTTGCCATGGCAACCATCATCTGATTGCATACAAGCTGTCGCAAGAGGAGTCATAGCACCATCTAGAGTCGATTTTCATCTCGTCAAAACTTAAGGCGCACATTCTATGGAGTTCGTCCATGCTGCGGCCTCGATGTTCCATCAATTTCAGGACTTCTACTTGGATTCCTGGAAAACACTTTATGATATTGCTGAACCAGGCTGCCAGAGTGGACAAAGCTGGGAGTGGATAATGCAGATGTTCTTTTACGTATGTGTATGCTTTTGGGGACAAGGCTCTGAGGTATACAGCCTGTCTCAACACCTTTGATTCCCATTCTTTGGGCCTTTTCACACCTTTCAGAAGATGAATTTCAGCAGGGGAGAAATGACCAGAGATGATCTCATTAGAAAGATATTTGGTTCGTGACTTTGGTGCGTCATCCACCAACCTTTTCCTGAGAGTCTTCATTTCATTTTTCAACTCGGATTTCTCGGATTGGAGGATACGATACATCGATCTCAGTTTTGTAATTTGGCTGATTTTTGCTCGCAATTTTTTCCTTGCCCCCTTCTTTTCCTCCTATATGTTAATGACTTGCCTCTCTGTCTCCCAAAGGGGTTAACATCTCCCAATTTGCAGACGACACGGCAATCTGGATCCGAAGTAGCCTAAAGACAAGGCTGGGCAACATTCCATCATTAGCTCAGAAGGCCCTGGATTGCATACACCAATAAACAAGAAACAAAATATCCGCCTCACTCCAACCGGGTGCCCAATCTTCGCTCGTTTTTTTTTACCCCTACTTCATGTATCGTTTCGTTCTGTTTTTGTTATTGGAAGTTATTGTCGATTGAGTGGAATTTACGCATAAATCTTTTTTTTTACCACTGTGGTCATCCTAAAAGTTCTACATTCTTGTTTCAACTTCATTTTTTTTTTAATCAATGATGGTGAAAGTTCAAGTTCCATCTTATGAAATTTTCTGCAGTTGAGCAGCTTATAGAACGAAAAGTCCCATAGAAGCATTACATTTGTTGCATATTTTTTCTCGTTATGTGATGAACCTATCCACAAATGAGACATAAAGAAAGTGCCCTCTCTCGTCTCAGGCATTTATCCCATTTTCCCTGCAGAAGTTTTCTTGAATGGGAAGATGGCCATTGCGTCACCGCTGCTATCTATTTAAAAGGCAGAGAAGGAGGGGAGGAAGGAAGAAAAAAAAAAGGTAACTCAATTTCCTGCCCTTGACGGATGATCTCAGAGAGGAAAAGGAACAATGGGACACATACGAGGGAAAGGGCAGTTTGGACTATGGGGGGGAAGGAGACAGGACAGGACTATTCCCTTTTTTTATAACGGCCGATCTATTGATTATGGAAGATGTGTGTGTCCTCGAGGCGATGACGTAATCCCCCTGCTGCACCCGTTTGAATCCCGGGTGGAAGTCCTCCTTCCAGCTCCTCCCCTCTTACTCTATGATAGCCAGAAGACACAAGGGAAAATATATATATCGGTGACCGATAATGATACTGATTCGGCGCTTTCTCTCCTCAAATCATCCACATGCCGCTTCTCGACAGATACAGTTATTCTTACATTTGTGCAACTGATCGTGCTGCGCTGTTTTATTTTATAGGGTGCTCTAAAAGTGACTTTCTATGTCCATACACCATTTTTTTGGAGAGTACGCGGAGTGACATGAGATGAAGAATATTGGGAGTGGGATCAACTTTACTATGCGGCAGCTGATGCACCTAACTAATTAGATATAATCACCATCACCATCATGTCTGGTGCCTTGCAGCTGCAGGACAGAATCCACGTGATTATATTAATGACACTGTCTGGGTTCCATTCCAGGTAAAAACGGTCTCAGGACGCAACACACTATACCACAGCATGTAGCATTTCTCGAAGAATGGGGCGAATTTTTCTTCGTATGCTGTATTTTAATGCTGGAAGCGTGCTTGTGGTGTTTATTCGTGGTGGGTTTATTACCTCCATTGAGAAGGTACGTGACACGATTGCGGTGCCATCACAACTCCTGATATTTTTTTAAGCGCGTCAGCTTCCGCCTTGTCAAATTAGTCCAAGATCCAATTTTCTCGGTCTTAAGCCACTCGTGCGCTTCCCGAAGAGCGAAAGTCACTTTCTGAACACCCTGTGTATGCCTCTCTCGTTTTCTTTTCATGGAAGATTCGCCTTTCCAAGAAAAAAAGAAACTGAGCAGTTGAGGAGCAGCGGGAGGGACAAACCCTTTCACCTTTCTTTAATCGCTCTGTCGAAATTCCTGCAAGAGTCCTCTTTCGTATTGTATGTTGAATCAAAAGAGACAAAGAGAGCTTTCACACCACATAGAACTCATCGTGATCGATGCTCGGAATCTTGAGCAACGAAAGACAAAAGAAAGCTATTTCCACTCAATAAGCTCGGGGGAGCGTTCAGGTTTTTTGTTTGTTGGAATGGTACACATATTTTCATACTTAGTGTGCCACATGTTCCTTTTTTTATATTCTACTGATTTTCTTCCTTCAAGTATCACTAAAAAAGGGAAAAGAAATCCATATAAATATTTCCGTTTTTTGCTATTTGCTTCCGTTATCCATGTCCATTATTTTTGTCTAATTGATTTACGTGATTTTTTTAGGTGTGCGAGAACATAGCAGTTCACAGTTGGAAGGTGATGAAGGAAGACCAGACGGCCGTCGGACCATATGCCTACAAGGAGGGTCAATGGGTCGGGTACGACGATGAGGACATCGCAAGGCGGAAGGCGCAATACGTGAGGGAGGAGGGTCTGGGGGGGATCATGTTTTGGTCCGTGGACAACGACGATTTTCGGGGACTTTGCAATGGCCAGCAGTATCCGTTGATCGAGGCCTCCAAAGAGGCTCTCTTTCAAAAGGGGAAGGAAAAAAATACCACTCCATCCTCATCGTCAACTTCCGGCCAAGACAGGTCTGTCCTGGGACTGCTGTCAACAAATATATATATATATACATATACTGTATATGCTTGCATTTGTTCAAAGACATGTATGAGATGTAGCTGCGGACATTCCGTAAATACAAGATACGATGGATAGGGTTTTTAGCGTTGTTTACCGGGAATGTTTGGTGATTCTCTGCAGGAGAGCGAACGCAGCGGGTAGGGGAAGGAACAGGTTGAAGATCGGAGGGGAATCCTCAACGACGTCCACGAGCACCACGAACCCTCTGAGTACCCCCGAGCCTCCCACCACGCCTGATCCTGGCACTGGTCTGTCTCTCTCTCTCTCTCTCTCTCTCTATCTTTCTCTCTCTCTCTATCTTTCTCTCTCTCTCTATCTTTCTCTCTCTCTCTATCTTTCTCTCTCTCTCTATCTTTCCCCCCCGTCAGACTAATTATGAAAGACGAGAGAGATTTCCTTATTCCTTCTGCCCTCCTACGAAGTTGCAATGCTGCGCGATTTCAAAAGCTTCCGCGACTAATCGAGTGCATAATGAGGTGCATCCATATGGATAATTATAGACTTTTCGTGAACTCGAGCGGAGTTTGGTTGCGATGAAGCGCAGTGACGTAGGGCTGCGAGGCGTGGGCGTCGCGATCCCACGCCACGATGCCAGTGATGGCATGCCCATGCTTCTGAATCGCGAAACTTCAAAATGTCCTTTCACGCAGAAAACGCGTTTGAAAGTGGGGCAGAACTTTCGAGGGCACCATGTGTGAATACGGACCGTAAGATTCACGGTGGCCACAGTCTAATGCTTTTTTTTTTCTCTCGGTTGCGAATTTCGAATATATTTTCAGTAATTATCACTGTGCTCGTTTTTCATTTTCACATAGACTTTTCGTGCAAGGATGAGGGGTTCTTCACGCACCCAAAGGAGTGCACCAAGTACTTCTGGTGCCTCGATACTCCGGCCCTAGGATTGGTGTCTCATCTCTTCACCTGCCCTTCCGGTCAGTCAGCATCAATTCCCGATCCAATTAAACCATTGGCATTGATCTACGAGACCATCTCCAATCTATATTTTACAATGTAAAAAATCGTTGTTGTGCGTGCATATATGACATTGTACTCAAGCTTAGTTCTTAAAACATTGCATTTTGTAGAGTAATGATTATTTTTTCAAAATAAATGCTAAAATATGGTACGTAAATGGTGTAATAATTCCAATGCCAACCTTCCTATACATTTTTACGTTTTTTTTTTTTTTTTTTTACGCAGGACTATACTTCAACTCGATTTCCGGCTCGTGCGACTTCCCCACGAACGTGATCTGCCTGTCCAGCATCAGAAAGGGGGAGGATAAGTCGACGACGACGTCCCGTCCCATCCAGCCCACCACCACCCCCTACAAGGGCCCGCCACCGGACGAAGAGGGGGATCATCCGAGCAGGAAGGGTTACGTCTTGCCGTCGGACGAGGATCTCTTCGGAACCCCCGAGGGGAAGCCCACCGACCTTAAGCAACTCCTATCCCTCATCAATGACCTTGGTACCTCCCACTTTCCGAAGGTCATATGGTCATCACGCGCTCCATATGGTGATCGGTACTCTTTCTTTCCCACGCCATTTCCAGGTGGGGTTGATGCGGTGAAGGATATTCTAGTCCCAGAGGAAAGGGAACGCCCTGCCCACGAGGAAGCCAAGTAAGACATCCTCCTGGGAATGCATTTGTAAAAAAAGAAAGTTCTCACGGATTGGGAAAACACAGTCTTTATCAAAAAAAAGTCCAGAAAGCGGAGATTACCCGTAATTACTTGCTGTGTTTCCGCCTTCGGTGGTGTTGCCACCCAATATGGTCCTTTGTTTCAGTAGATGCTGAAGCTTTTCCGTTTCATCTCAAGCTCCATAAACTTATTTAATTTTTTTAAGAGGAGAACTCACAGGAAAATGCAGGTAATAGCAATTTCGCCCGTGACGTGACGAAATTTTGCGCAGGATCACGCAGAGAACCGATCTGGCTGCAAGCCAACAATCTCGTCTTTATGCCGAACGTCGAGCGTGTCGTTTCTCCCAGCTGCCATCACTTTCGAGTCATCGGTTTGAAATTAGGATAATTGTCCAGAACGTTCTGAAAGACCCGACGTTTCGCAACAGTTTCGCAGGGAAAATGGGCCCGTGAAGAGCACGAGATGGGCAGGAACAAGAATGCATTTCCCAGGATGAAAAGATTCTGCGGTTAAAACCCCATTTATCAGTGTCCTTGTCTTTCCTCTGCGAGGGGCCGATCCAATCGAACCTTCATTATTCATCATTCCCTTCTAAATGCCCTCTTTTTTTATTATCAGGGAGTCACTTGATTTCGTAACTTTAGCTGGAGGTACGATTCTCTTGAAAAAAGAAAGTTTTTTTTCTGTTACCGATGAAATTCAATGCATTCCTAGTATTCTTTTTGAATTCTTAGTTCCCTTTTCCCCGTTGATTTTGTCTATTCCCTTCTCATCATTATAATTTAAAAATATTGGTTATCGTGAATATTTTATTTGCTAAGACTCCAGCGAGGACCCCAGTTCGTGCCACCGTCGCGGGCGAGGACGGAGACGAGAGAGGAACCCGAAGAAGAGACAGAGGATCCTTCTTCCTCCCCTTCCAGGGGGTTCGGAGGGGGACGGGGACCTCAATACGTTGTCATCGATCGGCGACGGTGAGCATCCGATCGTACGCCTGCATTTTAATTCCCCCCCCACGTGTCCATTTTGCAAAAGTGGCAACTAGACATGTCGTCGAGGAAAAACTACATACATCTGTACGTCGCCTTAATGTATGATAATCTGAAAATTTCTCTAATATAATCAATGAGGTCCGGTTATTGGATTCATGCACTTTTGAAGACCTATGCAAGGTTGTTTTCATCCATATTTACTTCGAAAGTAAAATTCTTTTTTTAATAGCAATGAAAATTGAATGTGGAATGTGTGGCTCCAGTAGGATACATGAAGTAAATGAACGATGATGATGAAAACACATCCTGGAGGGGTACCTATTAATCATCATCTTCATCAACAGGGAGGGAAGTGGAGGAGGAGAAGAAGGGCTGGACTTGGAAGAAGGGAGGCCGACAACAGAGGAACCGAGGAAACGGTTCAACCTGGAATATGTGACACTGGACAGGGGGAAACAACCACAATCCACCACACCCCTGGCCATAGCAGAAGAGGAAGAAGGAACAGCCCCCGTCGATGTGGACCAGGAACCACTCTTTCCTCAGTGAGTCCATCCCGGTGCCGTTCGGGAATCACCTGATTAATTTTTGAGTAATTGTTGAATCGTTGTTATATATATATATATATTTTTTTTTTTTTTTCATGTACAGGTATGTTACCATTCGAAGACCAAAGCCTCTCGCTCGTCCGGACGAGCTGGAGGAAACGGACGCTGAGGTGAGACGATTTTCTTTCCTCATTTAAGCAACTTCAAATAAGGCACAATTTGAACAATTTCGAACAATTATATATTTTTATGATTCATGAATCACAGCTTAGAAAGGCCTTGATCGCAGCAATTTTTGTATCATCAGTCAGACTGGAATTTTGCAACGAGAAAGCGCGCTTCCGCCTGGATCCCACAAGCCCTTTCGCTCCCTCAGGAAAGGGAACGAGAGGAATTACCGAAACATTTCCGATATGATATGCCTGTTCTGCTCAAAGGCCTTGAGATAGAATGAAGTTGAACAGGAAAACATGATGCACTAAAGACGATAACTATAAATTGGATTCTTCAAACAAAATGTCTTGTGGAGAGAAGAGAACCTCAACGTTGAATTTCGATGTAATATTTTTCATCTTCAGGAACCACGAGACACGGTTCCTGTGGTAAGAGACAGGGTTCGGAGTACGACGATTAGCACGACATCGACGACGACTGCGACGACGACGACAGAGCAGTCGATCCGAATCAGGCCGTTCCAACGTCGCCGCCAGACTACGACGACGACGACGACGACGACAGAGGCCCCCTCGGAAGATGAGAAGCCCCAAGTTGGAAGCAGGATCCGCATCCGTCCACCCTCGGTCCGTCAGCCAATCTTCACGCGAAGGCCCAATTCGCCAGGCCGCTTCTTTAGACGACGCCGTCCCCAGCCTCAGCGGGGACAGCCACAAGTGGAAGTGGAACAGCCGCTGGAGGAAGTGAGACGACCTCTAGAGGAAGAGAAACGACCTCTAGAGGAAGAGAAACAACCGCTAGAGGAAGAGAGACAGCCCCTAGAGGAAGAGGAACCAGAGGTATCGTTGATGGTGTCGGTGAAAGAAACCGTGCGCACCGAGGACGGCCAGGAGATTTTCTCGAGCCGTCAGGAACAAGTGCTTGACATTTCATCGACGACCGAAGCTGCATCGGAGCCTACCAGAGGAGTACCGGTCAGAGGATCCTTTCAGACGAGAACCCGACGTCCGTTCGTTCCGGTGAGGAATCAAACTCCAGTGAAGAGACGTCAGGAGATCGTAGCACCGTCGCCGTCGTCTACGACGGAAGAATCCCCTCCGACTTCGACGACCTCCGCCGTTCGGGTCTTGTCGCGCCCCGGTGTCAGAACCCGAAGACCGTTTCTCCCTTCGCTGAGGACGAGGTCGACGACGGCTAAGCCGACGGAAGAAGAATCCCCTCCGTCGTCCCCGAGAAGACGCACCCTGTTCCAGAACCGATTCCAGTCTCGGTCGAGATCGACCGAGGCTCCTCCATCCACCACCGAAGAGATCGCCGTCACCACCACTGAATTCTTCCACCCGATTGAAGAGGTGAAGACATCCATGGCGTTCCACGTGGAGACAGAGACGGAGGTCCAAGCGAAGACGAGCGAAAAGACGGCTGGCGTCGCCAAACGCAGACGAGAGGAGCGACTGACCGCTCCCGTCGTCGTTCCGCTCGTCGGGGAGTTGTCCGAGATCGAGATCGCCGAGCCCAGTCGTCACCAACCGGAGAGAGAGGAATCTTCGACCCAGAAGGAAAATTCTCTTCGCGAAGAGGAAGACGTCGCCGTGGAGGCAGGGATCCCGACGGAATTCGTGGTGACTTCAAACGGTGGAGTGACCATCCCCCACCCGGACGTGACGTCTGCGTTCCAGAGGGACGAAGGGGCGACCCGGTCCCGGATCGTCACCCGAAAGAGACCGCTCGCCGTCACCCGCACGACCCCGCTCGAGGAACTTCGAGAAACCACGTCTCCCGTCCGGGAAACGAGCCGACAGTCCTTCGGCGTGACGCCCGATTTCGGGGTGTTTTCGAGCGACTCGGAGAAGGAGTTCGTCCGTCGACGGTCCCGACCGACGACGACACCGGAGCCTCAGGTGGCATCGGAGACGGGTCGACGCAAGGATCCAGACCAGTCTGGCGCCGAATTCCTCTTGTCCCGGGTGCGCAATCCCGACGAGATCGTCCGAAGCCCCACGACTCAGATCGCACCCACGGCTTCCTCCTTCTCCGACTACGACGACTTCTACGACTACGACTACTCGAACAAGGACCTGGGAACGGGGAACAAGTTCCTGGAATACTACTCCGGTGTGATCAACCTGGACCGGAAGATCCGAATGATGGAAGACGGGAGGATCAAATGCCTGGACGCCGGGCTCTTCCCGCATCCCAACCACTGTAAGAAATTCATCTCGTGCGTGCGGATGAAGACGGGAAAGATGCGGGGATGGATCTACACGTGTCCGTCTCATCTCGCCTTCGACCCCATCGGCGGAATGTGCAATTGGAACGATGCCACCTTCTGCGGCGGGGCCGCATGAGCGGTCGACACCGAAGTCTCGGCAACTTGTGATCTCTGGGCAGCTGTTTCCGTGCGAAAGCGACTCTCGGCGTCCGTCTTCGAGCCGATTTTGCCATTACAAGAGTGAAAACGTGAACGGTGTCTTGCCCCGAGCGTCTTCCGTGTCGCTAGTCTCGGGACTCGATCGCGAGGAAAGAGCGAGAAATGCTTTCTGAACGTTCCTCGAATCCGTGGTGCTGTCTGACCCTTTGTGTTTTACTTTTTACTTTTTTTTTCTCGATCGGCGAGTCATCGTCGCATCATCCTCGACGAATTTCCACTGCCACTGTAATGCAATGCTCATCTCTGTTCAATAAAAGGCAGTTCTTTTGTAGAAAATGTCAACCAGCGTCTCTCTCTGAACTCGAAGAAAAACGAAGAAAAATGATAGCGAAATGCAAGGACTATGAAGGAGATGGGAACCGGATCGTTGTGAAGTCCGTTGTGCCCCCCCCCCCCCCCTTATTTTTACCAGTGCAAGTCCACAGTCGGCCTAAATTGTAACCGGAATTTACTACCTCGCCTGCGGTACTTCATCTCCAGTTCGCCTCTAAAGGATCCAGAACGGTGGGAAAGATACTTTAATTAATGGGGAATTTTTGGTGTAAAGAACTCTTTTCAAAGCAAAAAGGTTAAGAATTTAAAAATTAAAATAAATTTTAAAAAAAACAACAAAACAATGAATTCGTGCTAGAATTGCACTCCATTTGTATGGTATCACGACGCCATGTACGAATCCTACTGTGCAAATTAGCCCTTTCTTTATAATAATAAAAAAAATTGCCGCTCACAACTCACATTGATTCACGGGCACGAACCTCAGAATTCTTCAAAAACATCTGAGTCCGAAGTCCTACCGTGTATTAGGAGACCTCGGTTGGGAATGTGCTCCTCGGAATTGTTTTCCCTCGAACTATCATAAGTAATGTCGTTTTTTTCTGTTTTTCAAAATTAAAATACACCTGCATCGCATCAAGTTTCGATCAAGTATATATTCCCTTCGTTCTCTATGACTCTCTGCCACCTTTCTACAAACATTTCAATTCCATGTTTATAAAATTCCTTTGGCTTCGATGCAAAAAATGCGGACAGGTCACTTTTGATAGCCTCCAAACTTTCAAATTCTTTTCCGTTGAGATAGTTTTGTAGACTTCTGAATAGGTGGTAATCGGAGGGTTCAATGTCTGGTGAATACGGCGGATATGGAATTTTTTCCCAACCCAGCTCTTCGATTTTGGCACACGTGATCTGAGCGGTATGAGGACGCGCGTTGTCCTGATGAAACAAAACACCCTTGCGATTGGCCAATGAAGGACGTTTTTCCTGCAATGCAGAGCTCAAACTTTGGAGCTGCCGGCAGTATACCTCCGCTGTTATGGTTTCATTGGGCTGTAACAGTTCAAAATAAACAACGCCAAGAATATCCCACCAAACGCACAGCAAAACCTTCCTGGGGTGAAGACCTCTTCTTGCCTGTGGT